TTCGGTTCATCTTGCTTAAAGTGAGGAGGTTTGAATCCAAATGCGGACTGAACGTTCAAGATAAAGTAGCATGTTATCACTATGGACATTAAGGTTTCTGCTACAACAATGATGAACCCATCAACGTGGACCAATAGTTATGTCTCAGCGTTTGACAAGAGCAGTTACTGAAGTAATCTACAATAGAATAGTTAAATTTAAATGTGAGTTGTGCGGCCACACACACGCCTTGAGTCATGGGGACTTCTTTGAGAGGCCAGGAAGCCAGCAATGACTGACGCAATTTAAACAGCGGGTAGAGACACAAACATGTCTCCGCCATCCGAGAGAGAAATGAAGTGTCCTTGATGCTGGCTCACTACAACGACTGTCATGGCCATGTAATGCTACATCTTACATTGTCTGCCTGACGTATGTTAACTATGTTGATAGAACGTACAGTTATCATATAAGTGTTCTTGACAAATGGAGTAGGTCCATCTACGAAGAATGTGATATCTTCCTCGAATATGATGCACTGCAACTCTGCAAGTGAATTTCGTGGGGTAGAGGACGTCCATCAATACTGAGGTTCAATATATTCGGTGAGAAGGTGCTAGTGAATGCAAGACTCTTCGTGCAGAAGGTAACTGCTATTTCTTAACTGTCTGAAAAGCGGTAGAATCTGCTTTCATCTGTACCACAACCGTCATCAGAGAAAACACTGATCTCTTCATATTGCTTTGCTTGCATGTTGACTTAAGTGCTTTTGATCTGTTCCTTAGGTCAGAGTGCTTTGGGGCCAGAGACGTACAACTTATATTTTTATATGTAGTCTGTGGCTGTAACAATGACTCGCCTGTTAGGCACTGGGAAAGGGGTTTCCTTGATGACACTGACGAGCAATACTCATTTCAAGATGCAGGCAGAAGTATTTTGCGGGGTAGTAACTATAGATGAGGTCACCTCAGAAGAAGACATACAACGGTACCTCAGATGAAGGACTGAATACACTGCATTACCATTGGTTTCGTGAGAATATTTCTGCAAGCGCTTCTTCTGTCCACTTTATCTCGTGTACACCACCACATGCATACTGGGAAGCATGAATATCTTCCCATACACACACAGTAATCTTTCTTGCTACGACTATTTTAAAAGAGCACATAAAACAATTAAATTCTGAGTGAGCCAGTTTATTTTTGAGTGGGCTTCACAAGACTTAACACTAAAATTTATTAAAAAATTATGAGGGAGTGTAAATGTAGTTATAGTTACTTTTCTTACTGTGTTACATCCACTCCTTGTGTCTCCATTTTAGATATAATAATTCTTAATATTCATCAATGTAACAGAAAATAATTAATTTACAATTAATTCTAGGCTGTTATTTTCCTGCTAAGTTGACTGGACTAACAGTCCGCTGCTTCCTCCTCCTCCTCACTACCTTTAGTTTACTGTTAGTAGCATTAACTTCCACCAACTTTCTCTCACATGTCTTCTCAGTGAACCAGTTATTGTGTAAAATTAAATACGGTTCTGACTTCGTCAGCTCTAGTATGTGACTGAAACACACAGAAATACCTTCATCAGTCACCTCTGAACATCTGGCTGTGTAGGACACGCTGAAAAATCCTTCTCTGTAAGAGAAAGTCATTCATTTAACTTAGCATGTACCCCTCACCAAGGATAGCCACACACACACACACACACACACACACACACACACACACACACACACACACACACACACACACACACACACACACAAGCACACACACACTGTGTACCATATGTATATTGTGTTCTGTATACCGTATGTATCTTCATTGTGTGCAGCAGGTATACCTAATGTGCTGCAACCCTACCTCTCCGCTCTATATGGAAAGTTAGGGGGGAAATACAAGAGTTCCTCGTCCCTTCATTATAGGGAGACTGGAGGTGGTTATACAGACAAGGTTCAGCCAACAAGGACGGAGGAGAGACAGCTGCTGTTGCTATCCTCGCTTACATTATTAAGTAAATCCCTGAAATGGTCTAACAGGCGTCCATAACTAAATTAAACTTCATTCTCTCAGTTACATTCTAATTCCTAGAGTAATAAATAGAATTTACCAAGATTATACAATGATTATACAATGTAAAGTCTTTCTGGCAGGACTGAGACTCCACCAACCTTGAAATAATTAATTACCTCCTTCCCATACCCAGCAACTTTATATAATAAAGATAACTGGTTCAAAGAACCAACAAGTTGATGATTTAGACACTTGTGCAACACTTGGGTATCTTCATTGTGGAAAAGTTCGCCAACTAGTGGCTTCCTCAGTCCAATACAGAGAAGAATGGTTGAAAATCAGGAGTTTGAGGTAATCAGTCCCTCTGCTTGGAGTCGATGTGTTCAGTCCATCAGTCTTTTAAAGACTGATGGACTGAACACATCGCTAAACCCGTGAGGGTTTATCCAAAGCTGCCGCAAAACCAGAACGGGTTTCAAAATTTTTGCGGTACTATTATATTCATGGGGAAGTGCTGAACCTGTAGGGATCAAGCAGCGCCTGAGAGGTGATCAGGACTAAGTCTGAAGATAGGTAGTTTAGATCTAGTTTCTTGGATCAAGAGCTCTTCACTGGAAACAAGTTACTCATCCTCCTCGTCCTTGAAGAGGCTGACAGGATAGAGGAATGAGAACCGAGGTGACTAACCTAAGATTACCATACTGGGATTCCCATTGACTCTTTCAATCTCTCTCTCTCTCTCTCTCTCTCTCTCTTTCCTCTCTCTCACACACACACACATACACATATAAGACCAGGAGTTGTGATTCGACCCCTGCAACCACATAGAGGCGTGTACACGCCTCTATGTACTCGCACTGAAGAATCATATTTAGAAACTGGAGAAAGTGCAGAAGTATGCAACGTTGCTTGTTCTTCAATTAAGGAAGGACAGAAGAACCAGGGAAGACGTGATAACGTACATAATACTCAGGGAATATGAAAGATTAGACAGGGAGAGGCTGTCTGAGAGGCAAGAAACACAGATGAGCCACAGGGATGTCAGGAAGCATCTCTTCAGGTACAGAGTTGTCGGCAAGTGGTTTGATCTCCATGAGAAAGTGGTGGAGGTAGGATCTATACACAGTTTTAAGAGCATGTACGACAGAGCCCAACGAGGTCAAGGAGTAAATCTGGCAAGTGGGATGTTAACAGGTGAGGGCAGTAGCTGAGAATCGATTCCTGCAACTACAAATGTGCGAGTACGTTCATGCGTGCGCACACGATAATCAACAAGCCAAGTGCTTATCGACAAGTGTCTTTGACAACTGGTAACTAACACGCATACACTCCACACAAAATACATATACAACAAAACACACATGAACCATAACACGCAACACACACACGAAGCACAATACACATCCTACACACACAACACAACACACAATGTAGAACCAGACAGTTCTGGAGGCCACACCCAGGCAGTAGTGGACAAGACAGTTCTGGAGGCCACACCCAGGCAGTAGTGGACAAGATGCTCTGCATAACATTATTCTACTGGCATAAAATTCGATCTGTTTAGAGCCTAATTATGTCACCACAGAGAGCGAAACGTTGACCCAAGGAAAACTTGGTTTGCAATGTGTGTTTGCTCTTTACTACTTGCAGCCATGCCCACACATGTGCAGCCATGCCCACACATGTGCAGCCATGCCCACACATGTGCAGCCATGCCCACACATGTGCAGCCATGCCCACACATGTGCAGCCATGCCCATACACACACGTGCAGCCATGCCCACACACGTGCAGCCATGCCCACACATATGCAGCCATGCCCACACGCGTGCAGCCATGCCCACACACGTGCAGCCATGCCACCAACGTGCAGCCATGCCCACACACGTGCAGCCATGCCCACACACGTGCAGCCATGCCCACACACGTGCAGCCATGCCCACACACGTGCAGCCATGCCCACACACGTGCAGCCATGCCCACACATGTGCAGCCATGCCCACACACGTGCAGCCATGCCCACACACGTGCAGCCATGCCCACACATGTGTGGGTTTACAGTCCAACTAACTAATTACATTCAATTATCAGATAATTTCCGGCAGTTGCGAGAAATTTATATATTCTTATGAATGAACTAAATTCCTCGGATTCATAATGCCACTGTCACCTGGAGACTAATGAGTTTTGATCAGAGGAAGGATACATTAGTTCTGATTCCTTGGATCACGAGCCCTTCATGCGCATCAGAGCACACTCACCCCCTCCACCCTGAAGAATAAAGAGGCACAATACCATGACTGGAACAATACACAAATAACCTGCACATAGGAGAGAGAAGCTTACGACGACGTTTCGGTCCGACTTGGACCATTAACTAGTCTCAGGTGGGGCTAGTTAGTGGTCCAAGTAGGACCGAAATGTAGTCATAAGTTTCATTCTCCTATGTGCGGGTTATCTGTGTGTTATAATCCCTCTATCCTTGAAGGGAGGACATGGAAAAGGATTTACGAAAAATATATCATTTCGCAGATAGATTCTAGGAAGATACACACAAAACATACACAGAGAATGAGGCGCAGGTCTGAACTATACAAAATAATAAAAAATTAAGAGTAGTTCATAGAACGTATTCATTATTACTGTCCATTATTACTGATAAATGAGGGACGACATGATATCCAGTCGACAATTACACGGTAAATGGTATTCGCAGTGATGTTGTTACATGCGTCCATACCCTATGGTTCCAGTGTATTCCACGGTATTCATGTATCCGTGTAGATACACGAATACCGTGGTTGAAAGAATTCACAAGTATCCCACAAGTCGATAACCGTGACTGGAATAATTTACAGTTAACTCACAAGTTACACAATACCGTAACTAAATAATATCACATCTAGTACAACTGGAGATCAAGCTGGACCTTTTGGTCGGTCCTGGACCAATATATTGGTTAGGTTCATCTGCAGTTTGAGCATTTGATTACTTAAGACTCACTTGAAGGTATCAGGTCTGACGACCATGTAGGTGTCCTGGGAAACAGTCATCTGCGGGAGAGGCCAGACCTGACCCACGGTGGGGGTCACAACGGGGAAGCCGCCCCACACCACACCCACCATGCCCAGTATAACAAACGCCGATGCTGTGGACGAACATAAAAATCAGGGATGCACTTCCAGAAGACATGTACAAATTATCAAGAAGATATATATATATATATATAATATTATATATATATATATATATATATATATATATATATATATATATTATATATATATATATATATATAAGGATAGGATAGCAGATGAACAAGGAGGCTTTAGGAAAGTAGGGGGTGTGTGGACCAGGTGTTTACAGTGAAACATATAAGTGAACAGTATTTAGATAAGGCTAAAGAGGTCTTTGTGGCATTTATGGATTTGGAAAAGGCGTATGACAGGGTGGATAGGGGGGCAATGTGGCAGATGTTGCAAGTGTATGGTGTAGGAGGTAGGTTACTGAAAGCAGTGAAGAGTTTTTACGAGGATAGTGAGGCTCAAGTTAGAGTATGTAGAAAAGAGGGAAATTTTTTCCCAGTAAAAGTAGGCCTTAGACAAGGATGTGTGATGTCACCGTGGTTGTTTAATATATTTATAGATGGGGTTGTAAGAGAAGTAAATGCGAGGGTCTTGGCAAGAGGCGTGGAGTTAAAAGATAAAGAATCACACACAGGGTGGGAGTTGTCACAGCTGCTCTTTGCTGATGACACTGTGCTCTTGGGAGATTCTGAAGAGAAGCTGCAGAGATTGGTGGATGAATTTGGTAGGGTGTGCAAAAGAAGAAAATTAAAGGTGAATACAGGAAAGAGTAAGGTTATGAGGATAACAAAAAGATTAGGTGATGAAAGATTGAATATCAGATTGGAGGGAGAGAGTATGGAGGAGGTGAACGTATTCAGATATTTGGGAGTGGACGTGTCAGCGGATGGGTCTATGAAAGATGAGGTGAATCATAGAATTGATGAGGGAAAAAAGAGTGAGTGGTGCACTTAGGAGTCTGTGGAGACAGAGAACTTTGTCCTTGGAGGCAAAGAGGGGAATGTAATGAGAGTATAGTTTTACCAACGCTCTTATATGGGTGTGAAGCATGGTGATGAATGTTGCAGCGAGGAGAAGGCTGGAGGCAGTGGAGATGTCATGTCTGAGGGCAATGTGTGGTGTGAATATAATGCAGAGAATTCGTAGTTTGGAAGTTAGGAGGAGGTGCGGGATTACCAAAACTGTTGTCCAGAGGGCTGAGGAAGGTTGTTGAGGTGGTTCGGACATGTAGAGAGAATGGAGCGAAACAGAATAACTTCAAGAGTGTATCAGTCTGTAGTGGAAGGAAGGCGGGGTAGGGGTCGGCCTAGGAAGGGTTGGAGGGAGGGGGTAAAGGAGGTTTTGTGTGCGAGGGGCTTGGACTAATGAGGCCAGGTCTAAATATAACAAAATAAATAAAAAAAAGAGTATTCATAGGTTTTCTTAACGCCATTTCTGGAAAAGGGGGGAGAATGAAATTAGTAAAACCCCGTTTATTTGGGGTGTTGAACATGGTAACCCCAGGGTTCCAGGACTACGGTAATTCATGTCCGTGTGAAAACGAAACCGTGTTTGAAAGAATCAAATTACCCAAATGATCCGGCGGGAAAAATTTTTAAGTTTTTCAAAAGTTAAAATACCGAACAAAAAACTCAAGTAAAACGGGAGAAAGCGGTTTTGGTCGGCCTGGCCTTTTTGGTTGGAGGGGGGAAAAAGATTTGTTACTTGGATCCGAGGACCGGTTTTGAGAATGTAGGTTTAAACGTCTTGCGGGAGGGGGCCCAGACCCGAAGGGGGGGGTCACAAGGGAACCGCCCCACACCAAAAACCCCCCATGCCCTATCAAAGGAGTTTTGGCAAATAAAAAATGATTAAAAGAAAAAATTTTTCAAGAATAATAATAATTAAATTTTTTTTTTATTTTAATAATTATAAAAAAAAAAAAATATATAAAAAAAAAAAATACAGTTTAATACTTAAAAAGGGCCCAAGCATTTTTTTCAAAAAACCCAACTTGGCAGAGAGTGCTATTAATTTGGTGAATTCCAACAATAAGTTTGGTAAAAAACCAAGTAAAAAATTTACATTTTTTATTGTGGAACTTTTCCCCTCCCAAGGCTTTTCAACCTTCGGCTTAAAAAAGGTTCCCGGGGGGGTGCTTACCCGAAAAGGGTCACACTATTTTTGTTGTGTTCTTTAAAGAATGATAAAGGTCACTACCCCCCCCGGGCTAAAAACGGACTCCACCCCAAAAATCCTCAAAGTTTGGACTGGGTTTTTGTTTTCGAAAAAAAAGGAAAAATAAATATTTGAAACAGTGAAATAATTTTATCGCGCTGTCCACATGCTTTAGCGGGGCCGGATTCCCGCTTTAGGCAAACGAGGCATTTGCCTGGGGCCCCCGCATTGGGGGCCCCGGGTCCAAGGGGTTCGGGGGCTCATCCAAGACTGCGCACATGTGCAAGGAAAAGGGGCCCCTACCTAAAAAGTTCAAGTGTTTGGGAAGAAAAATTTTGATTTTTAAAAATTAATCAAATCAAAAAAAATAAAAATAAAAAAAAAAAATAAAAAACCTAACCATAGATGGCAACACTCAACACCCCTTTGTTTACATAGAACACTGGGGTTTTTCCCACTAAGGGGAGGGGGGAGTTCTCCCAATTTTCTGTAGAATTACCTTTATCTAAACTGTACTGTGAAAAATTTAAACTGAAGTGTTTTTGAAGAATTGATGTGTATGGAAAAATTTTTTTGTTTCCCCAAAAAGTTAGGGGGTACCTAAGGGTTACTTGACCGTAAAGACGCATGACCGAAAAGACCATTTTTGGAAAAAAATACTTAAAGAAAAACCTAAAAAAAACAAACTACTTCCTTTTTGGGGTTTTTAAAAAGCCTTTGCCTTCTTTAAGTCTATCTTTTCAATAACAGATCTCTTTGATTGATGTTCAACCCTTTTCCGTCGCAAATCTATTTTTCAAGTTGCGACGGAAGTGAGTAGAACATCATTAATTTACTACATATTTTCCCCGAAACCATAACCACATCAAAAATCTTTGGGGGGTGAAACTAAAAAATTGTCCCTGCATTCTTAATTCTCATTCCTTATTAGGGGTAGCCATATTATTTGCAAAACATAATGATTAGTTTAGTTATGAAAAGGTAATATAAATACCATTGTGCATTGTTCTTGGACTGGGTATTTTTCTTTTAAAAAATTGGAGACAAGGAGGATAATTAGTAAAATATTCGTAGCCCAAATCACTAACCTAATCTATGGTAAAATTTTCTTATATGACTCCTTTCTGGAAACGTTTTAAATTTTTAGATGCCGGGCCCCAAGGAAAAGGGGGGCTACGGGGCCAATCCCCCCAATTACAAAAAAAAAATTTTTTAAAAATTATAAAATTAATAAAAATTGAAAATAAAAATTGCATTGCAGATTACAGACAGGATACCCTCATTTGGCACCGGGAAAACGTGATTTGGACTTCTTTAGGGGGTAAGAAAAAAAAGAAAAAATTCAAGAACAAAACAGAAAAAGAAACTGTGGGAAGCGAAAAAAAAAAAAGACCACAGACATCTCACAAAAACAGTTTTGATGTTACCAGTACAGTTGAATCTGCAAACTCAGACATACAGGAAGCCCCCCTCCATTTTTTTCTCACCACATCTACTTCTTTTGTGTCTCCTCTCATGCTCAACGGACATTCATCCAGGATTTGTCTTAAAAACCCTGCCTCAGGGGCCAAATGAATCCCAGATTCTCTACGTAATGCTTTCATTGCAAAAACCAGTCAAACTCTGAACATTGACTTTAGGAAATAGAAAGGTTTTATGATGAGGAAGTCGTCGTTTTTTAAAGTCATCTATTTTTATAGGAATTTTAAAATTCAAAACTGTAAAAAGATCTGGATGGTATACCTAAACTCAGGAAAAGTGTACTGTTCAGATGCAAGCTATTTCTACCAAAAAAAAATACCTTCACACAGGGGGGTTCAATGATGGAAAAATTCCCGTTTCGAGGAACATGAAAAAAACACCATCCAGGGGCTGTATTTTAGCCAGTGATTTCGTGCACAGAAAAAAAGGGTTATTGGATTTTCATTTGGTTGAAAAAGAGTGCACTTATTGAGAAAAGTTCTAGAAAGAATTGTTGCTGTTGTAAAATTTTTTAGCTCTAAGAGGGCTTGCTTCCCGGGAGAAAATGAGGTTTTTGGGTTTGGAAAAAAAAGGCAATTTCCTAGGGTCTAGAACTGTTAGCACAATTCGATCCATTCTTAGCAAATATGTTCCCCCCTTGGGAATGCAGGGAAAAGCCTATCTTTCATGTCCTACTATAGCAATGAATTTATTGAACTGAGACTAAGAAAAGGGCCCAAAAACACATAGCACTGTGAAAACTGCAAAATACTTTGCAATAAAAGTGTAGTTCAAAACCAGATTTTCACTACAGATCAATTGACATTCATTGTTCGCTTTGTCCCACTCCATGGGAAGCCGTAGGCGCTTTATAAATTATTCCTCTTTCAGGCCATGTGGAAAACAATGATGAATGAGTACTGGGAACTCTCTTGAACATGATCTCTCTTTAGGATTGCCGTGGCCAGAGCTACGACAATTCAAGTAACATGTCGGTAAATAAATGGATTCAAGCCCGTATCAAGCAAATCAACCCACTTGCTGAATATGGCCCGCTCAGCCATTCTTTAATCTTGTTGGCATGTCTGCGGAGTGTTGTGTCGTCAGTTTCATTTTTTGGACTTTTACAAGCACCCTTTTTTTTTTTTTTCCTCTGCTTCAACGCATCGGTGGAGTAATCAATCAACCATTCATGGGGATGTCACAAAACATTTTTCAACAACAAAGGGGGCACGCAGCAGATGCAACACAGCTTTGAAAGACAGCTTTTCTGAAAACGTTCTGTTTTTTCCAAAAAGCAAGGAAAACCAACAGCAACTACGAAGCGAAGCAGCCACTTAGCATCAAATTGGAAGATTTTAATTGCCCTACTCTGTGGCTTTTGGGATGTATACAACGGTTAAATGCCACAACAAACACTTCAAAAATTGAAATTTTAAAGG